ACAAGTGACAATCCCAGGAAACATTCTTGGAGTAGTCCATTTCTTTTGTTCTAACTGCAGTGTTTTGTTGTTGTTGTTCAATGTTTTATGAGAGGCAAAGAGACAGAGAGACACGAATACCCACAACAGCTGGGGCTGGGGCTGGGGCTGGGGCTGGGGCTGGCTGAGGCAAGGAAACTCAATCCAGGTCTCCCACCTGTCACTTGGGTAGCAGGAACCAAATTACTTGAGCCATCACCACTACCTCCTAGGGGCTGCATTAGCAAGAAACTGCAATCAGGAGCTAGAGCCCAGAACTGAACCCAGATACTCTGAGTATCAGACACAGTTGTCTTCACTGTTGGCCCAAAGGCCCTGTCTGCAATTTTAAAGATTATTTAACACATACAGATGCACACCATCACAAAAATTTTCTAATAATTCCAATTCTTCTACAGGGGGATTAGTGATTAAAAAAAAAAAAAAACCCAACACATTACTCAAAGTAGAAAAGGGGGGCTGTTTCCTTTTCCTTTGGAATAAGTTCCTGCCAGATTTTGCACGCTGCAGTTCTGTGGTGGTGTGATGAGAACACATGCCCACCCACAGAAACTAATTCTGTTCTTCACCCTTCCCGAGCCGCCTGCATGACACATGCTGTCTGTGCTCCCCTTTCTGGAACTCGAGGGGCCTCGCCAAAGAGTGGGGACCCAAGAGGCCAGAGCAAGGGCAGGCAGCCCAGCCTTCCAGTGGATGGCTACAAGAAGCATCATTAAAGAGAACCACACATGCAACCCAAACCCAACTTGCACATCTCCAATCTGAAGAATCCCAACAACTGCATGAATTAACACTGAAAACCGGAAGTCCTCTCCTGGGTTGGGATCTGGAAAGAGAGTTTCTTGTCAGGGCTCCTTGCATGCTAAACTCCATGACAAGGACATGGGTAACTCCATGAACTGCTATCAGCATGCGTTAACAAAGAAGGCACCACTCTCAGCCCAAGCCAAAAGCTCTTTTCTAATGCCAGCCTGGCTCCGAGGTGTTTGCTTTCTCTGTGCTGATCATTAGTCATGAGGACATGGTGGTGATTAAGAATCCACCTGGGTTTGATTAGAGGATGGTCATCCATCTCATTTATGTGTTCTTAGAATGGTGTGTGTGTCCTCAGAACGCTGTTCCACACCTGTTTCTTGGCTTTTCTAAGCTACACAGGAAAGTTCGTATTTCCAGATAATAAGATTTCCCCCTAGTAATATTAATCCCACAAGTTTCAGGTGTGGGGAAAAGAATGGAAGAGCACAACAGTGGGCACGAAGAGATCAAGCCATCCTGGGGGAGCTACAGTTGTGGCCACTACTAGGCGGATCGCCCCATTCACTTACACCTGTAAATCAATGATCAATGAGCTTGGGTATAGCTATTCCACTATGAGCAGGAGCAATGATCACTGTATTTTGCCACATAATCCACAAACCACGCATCTGTACAGCATGAAAGGACTGTACACTCCAAAAACAGGTATCTCTACATGCCAGTAAATGTCTTTACACGTTGACAGATCAGATGTCTAGAGCAGCTCTAAATTAACCTGCCTTTCTGAAGTAATTTCTAAACTCACAATAGTTTTGAGCTATTTTTTATTTTTATTTTTTTTAACAGATAGAGTTAGGCAGTGAGAGAGAGAGAGAGACAGAGAAAGGTCTTCCTTCCGCTGCTTCACCCCCCAAATGGCTGCTACGGCCGGCGCTGTGCCGATCCGAAGCCAGGAGCCAGGTGCTTCTTCCTGGTCTCCCACGCAGGTGCAGGGGCCCAGGGACTTGGGCCATCCTCCACTGCCTTCCCGGGCCACAGCAGAGAGCTGGACTGGAAGAGGAGCAACTGGGACTAGAACCTGGCGGCCACATGGGATGCCGGCGCCGCAGCCGGAGGATTAACCAAGTGAGCCACAGCGCAGGCCCTAGGATACAATTTCAATAGATGCTAAAAGGGGGAGGGGTCTTCAAGCCAGCAAGCGGAGATTTGGAAAAACTGTCTGCTCCACTGAAATATCTTGGACTGTCTAACCTCTTGAGATTGACCCCAACTGCCATTCACCATAAGACACATAAAAAGAAAAACCTTCTGTCTGAGGTTGCGTCACTCAACTTGGCTCGGAAAACATGGCCACCACAAGGATCAAATGGAATGTTGAGTAGGGAAGTCCTTTCTTGACTCCCATCCAGGAAGAGTCAGGCCGAGGACCCAGAAGGGAACCGCTCAGCGCTGCTGATACACATAGCAATTACACACTCCAATCAATCTAGGAAACAAAGGAAACCCGGGGAGAGATCTACCACCAGTCATGATGAATCCTCACTAGACCGGAAACTGAAGCGAGGACAGGGCTGAGTCCAGATCCCACGCTTTTTTTTTTTTTTTCCCCCTGGACAGGCAGAGTGGATAGTGAGAGAGAGAGACAGAGAGAAAGGTCTTCCTTTGCCGTTGGTTCACCCTCCAATGGCCGCCGTGGCTGGTGTGCTGCGGCCGGCGCACCGCGCTGATCCGATGGCAGGAGCCAAGTGCTTCTCCTGGTCTCCCATGGGGTGCAGGGCCCAAGCACCTGGGCCATCCTCCACTGCACTCCCTGGCCACAGCAGAGAGCTGGCCTGGAAGAGGGGCAACCGGGACAGAATCCGGCACCCAGACCGGGACTAGAACCCGGTGTGCCAGTGCCGCTAGGTGGAGGATTAGCCTAGTGAGCCGCGGCGCCGGCCAAGATCCCACGCGTTTTTAAACAGAACACTGCCCAGCACACCGCTCTGAGCATAGGCAGTGTCTCACTCAGTATCTGTCGGTTACATCCAAGCTGAATGACATGAGACCTTGGGTACTGGCCATGGCTCTCTATTCCCGTTCCCTCAAAAGGGAAAGAGGCCTCGAAGCACCATGTGGTCACTCTTGGCTACCAGCTGGCTAACGCTTACCAGCACAGGGGGCTTGCCTGGAAGCAGTGGCAGGCACAACCTTAGGGGTCGCTGTCACTGCCCAATCGTGAGCCCGGCTGCCTGGATGCGAAGTAACCAGAGCCAGAAGAAATCTACGCTGTTCTGGAAAGAAATTCGGACAGGACTCAAACTATTCTCAGATACAGAGATCACAAGAAAAACAAGACATTTTAACAGAAAACACCCACAAATCAAGAACTTAAAAAAATATTTTTTGTATTTCTGCCTATAATCATTTTTTACAGGTCTGGCGGGGGGAATGATAGAAAGTTTCAATGAAATCAGAGAAAAGAGCTATTCTGCCTTCAGGATAAAACAGAATTCACATTGTTTTTCTCATGACTTTTGACAAAATGAACCTGAAGTTGAGCGGTGGCGTTCACCAGAACGGTGAGAGAACCCCTCTTCCTCAAGACTGCAAATCAGTGCTTTAGTTCAAGCTAACATTTATAAAGTAGCTTTTCTTCCACAACCTAAAGAGAAGTTATATTAGCAAGAAGGAGCTAAAAAAGGGCTTTCGCTTTGAATTTGAAGTATTTTTTTTCATCTCACCAAGTGCTGTTATTAAATATGTACTATATATGCATGTATACACATACACATATAAAAATAAGTACTACAGATGTTGGCAGGAAAATTCTTAGCAAAACCCCCACATATTTCAAATACTGTTCTTCCTCATTATTGCCCTCTACCATAATTAGCATGTTACAGCATAACAGGTGGCTTTCATTTATAGAATGCAAAATTAATGAAATTTGGAGATGGTTCTGTCTCTGAAAACAAACTGGCCATTCTAAAAAGAGTCCACCCCATGATCTACTAAACAGAAACAAGCCCAAAGTTTCCTCACACTGGCTCTCCAAATTACAGGAATTTCTTAAAGCATTTGGATAAGTAATTCAAATGCATTTATTGGCCATTTAAAATTCACACATCCCAAGGAAAATGGATCATTAATGTGGACTTCACAGTACAGGGGAAGAGGGACAAAGACTGCCTGCCCATTTTCTCGGTGTGGTCACCCTCTGATGGGAGCAGGATTTACCACCCTCCATGGAGCCACTCTGCAAATGCTGTATCTTAGGCTAATTCGCGGGCAGTTGTGTGGTAGGTCCTGACCCAGCCATTCTGGACCAACAGACCAGGAAAGCATAAATAGTGCTGCTATAAACTAACTATAGCATCTGTCCCTAGCAAGGAGGACTACTCAAAAAGTAGTTTTTAAAAATATGAGGAGACACTGAATAGACTGTCAACACACACAGGAATGTTTAATATACTCAAATAAACAAGATATGTGCCTTAACTAGCCAGGCATTGTTTAAATTTAGGGAGTGAAGAGAGAGGGTCAGACGGGCAGACACAGCCTCCCAATTATGCAGAACCATCTTTCAGATCATGTGAAAGCTATAATTAAATGTTGCTACCAAATCCCCACTTATCCTTTCTCCCACCTAGGAAAAAGTGAATGCATGAATTCAACATAAGCAAATTGTGATCTGCCAAATAAGTAAATTAATTAATTAATAATAATGACCACCACATTCACTCAACGGGGGTAAGGCTTTCTTGCGTTAAGTCATGCATCTTAGGGATAGGAAGGACAACAACTGTTACCCTCAGACCCCCTCCTTCAGCTCACCTCTGCTTATTCATCTTTTTAAAGCTCTAAGCTACCTACCCAAAAAGTGGGTACATCTCTGGGAGCTGTTTCCTAGCAGCACCTATTAGACTTAGCACTTAATCCAAGGGATGGGCTAAAAACATTTCTATCTGAAAACCTAAGGAGAAATTTGTTTTCAGAAGGGAGGATGAGTTTATAAGAGCTCTGTGTCCCGTAACACAGGTTGATGCCAAGAGGTCACGCCTGTCGCAGCATGTGGGCACACACACCTGGATAAATACATGTATTCTGGCTCTTAACAATCAGAATAACCTGTCTCCCTTAAAAACATGTTAAAAGCAAACACCGGAAAGCTTAGGCAGAAGCGAACAACAAGAAAATAAAGTTCATAAACAGTAGGCACATACCTGCCTGGCGATGCCATTTCCTCTACATCGTGGAGCCCAAGTGCTGGGTATTAGCATTATTGCTACTATAAAGCTTCCGATAAAAACGGACCGTCTCCTGCTGACCTGAGAACCAGCTGGCTGCCTGAGAAGTGGTTTCCCCCATATATGATTCAGTCTCCTTGACAAATACACTGCATTGTACTGGATGAGTCATCTGAGGGTTAGTCCGCATTTTATAGGCCTGTTGTGTCATTACTCACATTCAACATCCTCCTTCTCAAAAGTGGAAACTGGAAGCCTGACAGCTGACACACGCTTTTGCCAATTAAAATAGTTTTTTTAAAAAAAATTCCTGAAGTTATGGATAACAATCATTAATGATAGCATGAGACGCCCAGGAAGCAAATGGCACGGCTCAACACCTGAGATTAGAATTTGCATAACCAGAAGTGCAAAATGTTCATCCACCCCCATCCTCCAAACAACTGTTCAGAGAGTAAGGACCCCTCTTTCAAGCAGTAGAATCGGTCACGTTGCTTCTTGTGTTCCAAGGTCACCCAGTGGCAGGAGCTATGTAAAAGCTACACATCAAAATTTTGGTCCCCAGATTAATTATGTTAGGTAAAATGGTGGCACTGCATTTATAAAACATCTACGTTTGCAGAGGTAGGGAATCTTTTTTTTCTGCTAAGGGCCATTTGGATATTTATGACATCATTCATGGGCCATATAAAATTCTCAACTTAAAAATGAGCCTACCATAGATTTATTGAGTTTCTTGTCCTGCCTGCGGGTGCATTGGCACGGCCAGGCCAAATGATTTTGTGGGCCTTATATGGCTCATGGGCCGGACGTCCCCCACCCCTGTTTCAGAGTCAGACTGATGTACGTTAGGGCTGAAATGATATGGTATCTGGTATTTGTCATGCATATTTTTGCCAGAAAACAAATAGAGGGACAGGGTAAAGAAATGTGTCAAAGCCCTGATAAACTGCTGCATCTGTGTGGTGAGCATTTACAAGTTGACCACCTCTCGGTACCTTTGAAAAATGTTTAATGCTTTTAAAGATAAAAAAAAATTTCCACTACCTATGATCTAATTTAGATACAAATAAAACACTCTTCTAGTTAGGTATGAAGCTACTACACATATAACCATGGGTGAGGGTGGGTTGCTATCCACACAGAGCAACAAAGCAGCACTGTGGGTGTGGGAGCTGAACTTGATGTTGTTTTAGCTTCCAGCTCGGAGGTAGGAGACACAGGTCCTAAGGCCACTGGGAGGGCTGCAGCAAGGCCCTGAGCAAATGCCTGGTACACTGTCCCAGCTCTCATTGAGGACACAGGCCTGCCTGGTGTTCAGGGTTAGCATTAAGGAGAAGGCCCTGTGTTCAGCTTCCTTTTATGGCTTTGGCAAGGTTCCATGAGAGGTTATGTAAGTCACATCCTTAGTCCCTTGTACCAACAAATCCCTTTGTGGCACAGTGTTTGCTCTACTCAATGCTCCAAATGGGTTACTTAAACCATGCAGAGGAGAAAGAGGGCTCTGATTGGATGGCTGAGAAAATAATCCAGATATGGACGCTCCAAGGTATGTTAAACGACACCCCTGTTGAAACTCGGTCATTTCAACAACTACCCACGTTAATGTAGTGTGAAAACATGACAAGTCACCACAGGAAACTAAACACAGAGGTCAGACTGAAGGCCAGAAACTAAAGAATGGGAGGATGCTTTAGGCTGAGGCTCCCACTTCAGCCAACAGCCAACTCTACCTCGCATAGGACACTGTGCAAGAGGATGGCAGGCTGGTTGTAAATGGTTGGACAGTCCCCTTACAAGGTCAGAGTACAGCCTCACTAACACAGAATGATCAAGATTATGTGTGGTCCTCAACTGGAGCATTCTCTGGCTTTCAAAAATTCTTTCCTCATCAGGACAGCAAGCTACACGCATAGCAAAACATTCCCCTCTAATTTCATAATCTTTCACGTTTGCAAAGCATAATTTGCCTTAAAACAACAAGCAGAAATGGAGGGGATTTATGAACTTTTAGCCTAATTGGAGTTTTTATAAGGATTCCCAAGAAATAAATCCAGGGGCCAGCGCTGTAGCATAGTGGGTTAAGCCACTGCCTGCAGTGCGGGCATAACATACGGGTGCCAGTTTGTTTCCCAACTGCTCTACTTCAGATCCAGCTCGCTGCTAATGCACCTGGGAAAGCAACGGAAAACAGCCCAAGTGCTTGGGCCCCAGCAACCACATGGGAGACCCAGAGGAGGCTCCTGGCTTCAAAACAGCACAGCTCCATACATTGCACCCATCTGGGGAGTGAACCAGAAGATGGAAGATCTCTTTCTCTCAAATTGTACCTTTCAAATAAAATAAATAATTTTTAAAATAAATCCATAATTCATTTAAGAATTTTATAATTCAGGTCTAATAAAAGACACAAACGTTATTGCAATAATAATGTTTCTATACACATAGAAAGACTGATAATAAGGCAACATGGTAAAATGTTAACAAATGAGGAAATGGGTGTAGAGAAGTCCTTTGTTCTCACCTAACTTCTCTTTCAGTTTGAAATAATTCAAAATATAGTAAAACACATACTCTCAAACTACAAGAAAGAAAATATGTAACTCCTGATTAAAAAAAATACATGGATTTAATAACCACTGTAGCTGCTGCTACTGACATGCCCATCTATTTTAAAAATCTTGAACCATAAAGAAATTTACCAAAATGTTAACAATGGGAAATGTTGCTGGGTTAGGGTTTCTCGAAGGGTGTTCCTACAAACAATCTTATAAAAGGCTATACACACACCCAAAACACAGATTTTTGGAAAAACAACACACTATACCCCTGAGAGTACTGTTTAAGTTTGTTTAGCTTTGCATTTCCCAAATGTACTTGACCACAGAACCCCCACCACCCATCACCATCCTGCTGAGCCCGAAGAATGAACTCTGGGAAACACTGCTGTAGGTGATGACACAGGGAATACTACTTTCCTGATCTTTCACTATAAATTTTCTTTGGAAGATGTTTTACTTATAGATCAACCAAAGCCATCCAAATGTAAGTTTCTGTCATTCTTAACGGCCATTTCTATTTGGTTGACCCAAGGGCTAATTACCACCACCAGTTTGGAAAACAATGTGGATTATAGGGTTATCCAGTCTCCTGACCATGCCAGCTAGAGTGGCCTATGCCACTATGAATGACAGCCAAGGAGTTTGAGTACCTGTGTGGATAATAGGTGGACAGCTTGTGTCTGCTGGTGTTTCTGGTAGAGCTGGCTGGCCTTAGGGCAGGCCAACCCAAGGGGTAGGAGCTTGCTCCCTGCCCAGCCCAACCCCGCCAATTTTCAGGGCACTGGATCTTCAAGCCTGGAAACCATCTTGGATATCTTTTGTCTCCGAGCTCCTTAGGCCTTCACTAGGTTTCTGGCACTGGTTCTTAGCAGGTAAAAGGCAAAACCAGCCAGGAGAAGCACAAGAGAACACGGCTGCCATTTTCTTACAACTTTCTGATGGATTCTTATTTTTAAAAGTCTTGCCATGTACTAATTTATAAGCTTTTAGCAATTACCTGGGGTTTCTTTTTTAGGGGGTGGTGGTGGTGGTGGTAGTGGTGGTTTTTTGCTTAAGTCCAAATACTGGCAATGTCAAGTTCTGAAAGCAAACATGTATCAGTGATGTCAGTACTACAGCTTGGAATCAAGCTGTTATGGTTCAAAATTCAGCTCTGCCCTTGGTGAGGTCCTTTAATGTCTTTAAGATTGGTTCCTTATCTGTGAAGTGGGTATATTAATACCCTCAAAGAACTACTTTGGATGGGATGTGATCATTCCCTGAAAGTACAGCCAAGCGACAAACACAAGACACTGTCTGATCAGAGTATTACCCACTGGCAGAGTACACCCTATAATGTCTGCACACCGATGAAATCATTTCTTAGACGGTGTTCCTGTCCTTAAGGGACATATTGTAAGCACAGAGCCTGGCCACATACACAACACTCGTCAATTTATGCAAACAACAAAGATGAAGATGTCTGTACATCTCAGGATTCGAGACTTCTCAGGGGTGTGCACACTGGGGCCAGCTACCACACTCATCTGTTTACATACTGTCTTTGCCTGCTGGAGAGCTATAAAGGCAGAGTTGAGCAGCTGTGACAGAAACCATATGATCCCCCAAACTGAAACTACTTAGAAGCTTAGACCTTGATAGGAAAAGCAGGCCAAGCCCTGATGATCAACATTTGGGTACATGAAGAACCATGTCTTCTCCCTTCAGAAGTTTTGGTTGTTGGTCTCTTATCTGCTAACTGTCCCAGTTTAGAATCAGACGTGTTATTCATGGTGACCTGGTCCCCAGGAGCTGTGGCTCATGCTTTCCTCCCGACACAAGACACTCTGCTCTCTGTTTCATGGTGGATGGGGAGATGTACAGAACCCGGGGCGGTGGCTCCTTCCGCCTCCCCTCTTTCAAAGAGGACTCCCGTTCTTCCAGAGTCCAGTGACCCCAGCTGAAGTGCGAGTCCACGGCCGTGCCGCCCCTCCCCAAGTCACATCTGTGCGTGATGGAGAAACCACACGTGTCCCCAGAGCTTGAAGCAGGAGGTGAAAGATGATCTGAAAGAGGCATTCAGGAAACCGAGCAAACAGAAAAGAAGGATGCCTTCCACAGGGCTGGATGGCCACACACAGGACTAATAAAACGGCCTGGGGCCTTCGGAGATCAGCGCTGCAGCCACACAGTCCCCGACGACCAGGGCCCAGTGAGGAGACAAGGGTCAACCCAGAAAAATGAAGGACACGCCTCAGCAGCTGGTCCCCAGACACATCCCAGATCCAGCATCCAATCGCGCTCACACTTTCTCTGGCAGCAAAGCTTGTTTATTTGGGGAAATGAATCCACAGCATTAATGAAAAATGCAGGTGAAGGGACTCCCGGGACTGGGCCCTGGGAGGGGAAATTTGAACAAAAGAAACCATTCTAACAGCCTTCAGCTATGTTCTGTTGGGGGAAAAAAGTCTCAGCAAGTTGTCAGGGTTGAGATTAAAATTTGGGGTGTGCTTTTTAGTATCGTTCTGGTGGTCTCGTGTTCCCTTCCTGGCACATCTCAGCATCTTTGAGGTTAATCCAGCAAGAAATGCCTGTGTTAAACACTAAAGTGAATGACCAGAGCTCGTCAAGGAAGGGGGAAACAGGCAGATGATTCCTGTTGCTATCCACCAAGGAGGACAGGATTTTCACAAATGTTGGTTTTTGGTCTTAAGCTGTAATTGGTTGGCAGGAGGGGTAAGAATAAGGAACACCCCAAAGCTCTGCACCAGAAGACCTGCACTGATGAAACACATGTGGGCCACGATGCTAAGCAGATGTAGCTTCTTTTTAAAATAAGAGGTCCTGGGGTATGAGCAGGATTCTTTAGGAAAAGGCAAAAGGAACTCATCTTCACCCAACGCCTACTCTGTGTGGGGTACTCTGTATGGTGATATCATCGTACCCATAAATTTTGTTCCTGGCCTGTGTGGAGGAAAAATGGTGCTGAACTAACAGCAGAATCTGAATTTCTACAGCATAGTATGTTACAAGCAGGGCAGGACTGACGAGAGAGGAGGAAGGAACCCGAAATATATTAGGAATATGAGAAAGCCACTCTGGGAAATTATGGGAGGAGCCAGGGGCTTCATGAGCAAGTAAAAGGGAAAGATCACAGCGTCTAGAGTGCTGGCCATACAGCTGAGGACAAGGCCAAGTGTCTAAGACCAGTTTCCCCTTGGAGCCTGAAGAAGGAGTGTTGCCAGTCTAGGCAAGGCTTGGCTTCCCGGAGACCTGGGCTGAAACCAGACCTAGATCTGGAATCTTAAAGTCAAGGGATTAGCTCGAGACCTGCAAGTGCCTAAAGGGTTACCATTTAATGTATTTAGCATCAGCTAGGGTAAATAATGACAGTTGCCCTTGAAATCTGCTCAAGGTTGAATGGCTTTTTCCTTACAGTCCACTTGATGATCAAGATGCTATGATCAAGATGATCATAGCACAGTATTATGGGTGTGCTGGACCCAATCTGTCACCCAGCCTACCTCAGCCCAGAAATAGTCTTCAGGAGGGGAATCTATCACTCAACTTGATGTTTGCCACAAAAAAAACTTAAGACAATGGAAGCTTCCCAGCTAAGCAAATCTTTCAATTGGAAGCCATCCCTGTACAGCAGATAGCTACAGACAGTCAGCTGTAGAAATGGAAATCTCTCTCAAGAGCTTTCAACAATGCTCTTCAATCATTCAGCTGTGAAAGCAGCCAGCAACTCACAGAGTTAGACATCCTGCAAGTTCATTCTGTGCAGAGGTAGTAACGTTGGCCCGCCTCTGCCACCAGTTATATGTGATCTTGGGCAGCGTCACTTAACTTCTCTGTGCCTCAATTTTCCTATCTGGACAATGTAGGCTTTAAGCTAGTTCAGTCCTTAAAGCTCCAAAGTTCTACAAAGATTGGACAGGGAATAGCTCGTTGAGAAAGCTGCCTGTAATACAGGTAGCCAAAGAAGCAGGGAGTGGAAAGAAAGCTGGCGGATCAAGGCTAAGGGACTAGGAGGAAAGCTGTGTTCCTGACCCTGCATCTAACAGCCCACGTTAAATGATGCGGATGTCTCCCCAAAGCTAGAAGTGACTTAACCTTACAAACACTAATCAACAACAGTACCTCATGTCAATATTAGCTGTGGATGGGTCACATGCAAGCACTGTGCCCTAGAATCACAAGGCACTGTTATTCTGAAAACCCAATATGAGTTCAGCACATCCTCTTCTCTGTCTTCACAGCAACCAGCACCACAGTTACATTTTGTTATGACTTGCACGTCCTTTGCCACTGGACTTGACATTTTGGAGAGAAAGCTTTTTGCTTTTTTTTTTTTTTTAAACTTTGGTAGCTCAGCATGTGGCATATGGTAAGCCCTTGATAGACTGGGTTTCTTCTGTTGATTCAAAAGACAGAGATTAGTTTTTAGTGGCTTAAATAGGGGTTGGAGATGAAGATTATATGAGGAGGGAATGACAGGTGGCAGCAAACTTATAATGACCATTCCCCCCTCATTACAAACAGCAGTAAGTTCATTGTACAGAATTTAGGGACTGCAAGGGAAAACAGTTGCCCGAAATGACATGGAGATGGCAGAGTATTATAGGTATCTACAGTTAAATGATACTTGCTTGCTAATGTAATGTACCATTTGTATCTGATTTAAAAAGTGACTGGGGGGCCGGTGCTGTGGTGCAGCGGGTTAATGCCCTGCCTGAAGTGCCAGCATCCCATATGGGCGCCAGTTCTAGTCTCGGCTGCTCCTCTTCC